CATGGCGCCCAACGTGGGGCTCGATTCGAACTTCCGATGTCTCCACCGAGGGCCCATGTCAATATGGCCGATACAAACGATCATGCTCCACGACAGTTAACTACATTTCTCTCCAAAACGTCAAACCTCAACAAACTATAGTTAACCGGGTTAGCGGTTTTCTCGCCAAAAAACCCTTAATATCATCATCGTTAATTTGTACTGTAGGATTATATTCTTCCACGAATTTTTTAAAGCTGAATTCGATAAATCATCAACATTAATCATTTTGATCTGTTTTAGTTAAAAACATTTTGAAAATAATGATCATATAATAATTGAATTGTCATGCACTATATTTTAAATATAATTATAACTTATGCAGTTGTAAAAAAGTACTCGTTTTGTTGGTATTATTTGATTGCACCTATAATTTGTAAAGCACTTTTACGCCCTCATTTTGTGTGTAAAAAAACACAATTGCGCTTTTTACTCAATTATTAAAGTGGTTCCATTAGTACCTACTACAGCTTTCTTTCATTTAAATATTTTGGCTATTTGTATCTGTTGTATTATCTCAATCCTATGTTCATTCTACATGTTTTATAGTTCGATAACTGAAAGTTTTATAGAAAAATATTGTTAAAATAGCTCTACTCCACTTTGTCCTAAATTACAAATAAATAGCTTAATATCAAACTTGTCACTAAATTTAAAAAACTAAAAGTAACTAAAATATGACAGTATACATAACCTAACTAAAGAAATTCAAATCTGGCCATAAAACAGAATGTCTGTATTTCATGCAATAAAACAATTAGAAGAGAAAAATGTTGCTAACGAAATTAATTGCATGGTTTGGAGTGACCGAATGGACCTAGTAGCATTTTCAAATGTTAAAGGTAAAGAAAACGTAGTGAGTTAATTAGTTAAACTTAAGTGTCTTTCCAGGTGAAGTAGCTCTGCATAGACTCTCGTGGACCAGGGCTTGGATTTTAAATTCACCTAGGGAAGGATTAAAAGTTACAGGTATAGCTTGGAGACCAGATGGAAAAATATTGGCTGTAGGATATAGTTCTGGTAATAAACAGCTTTTAGAAGTGTCGGTTTGTAAAATTTTTCAATATTCTGCCTTCTACAGGTGAAGTATTACTGATTAGTATTGAAAATAAGAAGGTAGTGAATGTAAAAGAAACAAACGCTGAGATCTCTTGCATTTCTTGGGTGCAAGAGAAAGTTGAAGCTAAACCTAAAGATGTCCTGAATCTCAAAGATGAAGAACCAAATGATTATATGAAATATGTAGTAAGATTTCTTTTTTTAATGAGTGTTTTTTATTTGTCTCATACATTTTAGGATCTTTCCAAATTATACATCAGAGATCCTCTTCCTGCATCGTTGATAGATAGTTCTTCTAATTCAGAAGAGGTAAAAGAAACTAATTTTTTACAAGATCAAACCGAGCTCAATTTATTATTAGTGGGTACGAAGGATGGTTACGTCCACGTAAGAATTTTCGGCTGTTTTACTTGCGCTATATTAAACATAAACAAATACCTAGGTTACTGTTGTTCAATAGAAAACGTTCATTTAAGTGAAGATTTGAACAAAATATTCGTAACAGTAAAAGACTTGGAAAATAATATAAAAATAGTGTTAGTTGATTCCAAAATACTCAAGTCCCATACGAAGGAACTCTTTTCTGTGGCGTTAAAATATGTGAAATTATTAGATTTGGTGACATACTTGAAAAATACCATCACAAATATAACGGAAACTTGGGAGAGCTTCTTGCTTGAAATCGACCACAAACTCTCAAAGTACGCGAAGAAAGTGCCAGAAGGAGGGGTCACCGCTGACTTTCTAGACTTGTTAATGTTTGGTAGCTGTTCTCCTGAACTGGAGGAATTTCTGATGACCGACTTGACAAAAAAAGGATTAGAGAAGTTCGGACAAACCATAGAAATGAGTTATGCAAATATACAGAAGTTGTTGCTAAAAAACGTAACAAAGTTCGGACAAAATCTGACGTACCATCTTGCAGAATTGAGGGGGATGGCGAGGCTCGAGCACCGGTACGAGGTAAGGTTGTTTTCTTTCCTATCAGCATTTGAATTTAATTTGAAATATTTTAAAAAAGATTATTTTATAATACTTTCCTTACCTTATTTTTTTTTTACGGTTACTGAGTTTGAAAACATATTTTATTAATAGAAGCCATTTTTTAGTTACAATTTTGACACCTTGTATCTTGAAAAAGAGGCACCTAAATAAAAAATGGTATAAAAAAATTCCAAATGTTTTTTTTAAAGTGGTTAATAGTTTGAAAAACTTTTATGGTAATACCCTGTATGGAGGCAATAATAAAGTTTTAATATACACACCTATTTTATACGTCTTTTCCATGACTAGAATGTTTTATTGACCTTTACAGATTATCGGTGTATCAGAGGACTTAATAACCAAAGCTATTCAGTCAAATGGTGCATTTCTGATAAAAGCTGGCGAAATGCAACAAATAATAAACCATTCCGTGATCAACTACAAAGCTTTCTTCCGTTGGTTATACGGCGCCATCCTATTTATAATGGATGAACCGATACCGTCCGAGATCCACAAAATGGCTCAACAGGACCTCGCCTACATAACGGAATTCCTTCAAAATTTCGATCATATCGGTAGCAAAGACAACCAGAAGAAAAAGGGTTTCATAATGGAACGTTTAGGCCAATATCTAGCAGACGCCCCATTAACTATAACGCCGAATATGGAGGGAAACGACTGGACGGCATTTTTGAAAGAAAACGAGTGTATTCGGAACCATTCTAGCATTTTACAACATTACACCGACACGTCTCTCATCCAACAGTTCAAGGACCTCTCGGCTCGAATCACGGATATTTTTGAAACGCCTAAAGACGTATTGGACAAGCAGTTCAAACCCGTTCACGTATTCCACCTGTTCAATTTCGGCGACAAACCCTTACGGATGTCTTCCATCAACATCAACAAAGACCTTCTCTCGTTCAGCTTCCTACAGCCGTCTAGTAGCGTTTACCTTTTACAAGTACACGTGAATAACGAAAAGTGTTTAGCGAGGTGTGGAAAGTTCTATTTCTCTCAGCTTCAAGAGGAAAATCTAAGCGACATCTATCAGATTTTAGATATTAAGTTTTACTCGACGAACATCCTGTCGTTGCTTTTGCAAGAAAACACTAGTTTTAGAAGTGCGACGTTGCTTCAATTTTCGCTGTCGTCCGCCATAGACAAGTTAAAGGAAGTTAACGTTTGTGAAAATATCGAGAAAACCACCGTTCCCAACACCAACGGGACTAATTTAATTCCAAAACTGTATAAAAATATAGAAATGGCAGCGTCATTTTTCGCGGTTTCAGGGAGTAGAAGGGTCAGTATAGTTTTATCTGAAAATAGGAGGAAAGTGAAGCTTTTCGAGATGGAGGCCGAGGAAGAAGATGAAGACGACGGAATAAAGGAAGATGTGAGTATGCAGGATAGTGTTCTTGAATAAAATCTGAATCTAAAATTGATTGGCTTTTATTTAATCATGTATTAAAATTTAAACAAATAGTAATACTTTATAAATAATATACATAATAAAATATATGTTTATTAGAAGTATCTATAAACTAAATCTAAAATAGTTGTAATTTAAAACATATTACGTGTTATTTGTAAGTTTCGAAAAATTTATTAACCACAACATATTGCTTTTCGATTAATATTTTTATAAAGTATAACTTTACCTTCTAAGGATTAAAATTTCATAATCTTCAAAGGACAGTTCCTTTCCATCAAATGGTATATAACATACCCCATGACTAGGATGAACCTAAAAAATATAGAGCGTGTGAGATATAAGGTAGGTACAAAGACTATATCATATCTGAAATGTCACCGATATTTAAAGCCTACTGATACAAAACAATGGAGTAGGTCACTCTGTTAAATGTAACCTACAAACTATGTACATATTAAATGTCACTGCTACTCAATGCCTACTAACAAAGCACCTACTGGTGTAGGTGACTCTGTAAGATATAACCTATATGTCATATCTTAAGTGCCATTGCTGTTCAATGCCTACTGACTGATATTCGCAATCATTGCTTTGAACCTACTAACAGAGTGATCTACTGATCTGTAGGTACTATGAAAACATGAATGGTTTGGAACAATACCATTAATAAAAAAATTAATGCTGTAATGAGGGTATGTTTCATAAAAAAATTAAAATATCTTAAATTAAATGGAGCATTGTCACAACAATATGTTATAACGGGAATTAATAAACTTTATTGTCACGTCAATTTGTGAAATAAACATAGTAGTCATTGAAACTGAACCGATCGACTTGAAATTTGGCAGATAGTCAGAGAAAAGGTCAAAGTGACATAGCGCCGATTGACACTTCCACCTGTTGGGGGTTGACACCCTTCTTGGGTGTGGAATTTTTTTTTTTTTTTTTCAAAAATTACGCTGGAAATCGATAGAGAATCAAATTTTGAGCAAAAAATATTCGAAGAATTTTTTTAAGAAATCAATAGTTTTTTAGTTATTCACGATTGAAAACTTGGAATTTTGAGTGAAAAAAAACACTTTTTCAAAGTATTTTTCGCGAATAACTCAAAAACTACGCATTTTATTAAAAAAAGTATAATGAACAAAAATGTAGCTTATAAATAAACAAATAAAAAGTGTTGCACGTCCTATACAAAGCGAAATATGGTTAGTGGAAGGGGACTTGTTTTGGGGGAATACTCAAATCGATGCATTCAACGTCAAATAACGGAAAAAGGATTAATTTCTCAAAAAGACCTTCAAAATGAGCACTTAGAAAAGTTAATTAGAGCAAAATTGAAGGAGTTATCGTCAAAAACAGATGGGTTGCTCATATTTTTTAAGGAAAATTGAGCAGTAAACGCTGTACCATTTCCATTAGAATTAAAATTAATTGTAGACCCTTTACAATTAGTTTTGTTTTAGTGTTTTTCATACGATATTGAAGTTAGACCGGTTTAGAATGCGTATTTTTGAATAATGTACGGTAAAAATTGAAAACGTATTTTTCATTATTCAAAAAAAATTGCCTTATTTATATAATAACTCTGAAACTATGAAAGATACGTAAAAAATGATAGCCAACAAAAATGTAGCTTTTTTTCAACGAATATTTTGCTCTTTTTTTATTTCTATAGCATAAAAAATAAAGAAGATATCGCCGCTTGAAGTATCCATTTTAGTGAAAAAACTACCTGTCTCGAGCCTTTCGATCATTTCCCTTTAAAAAACTAAGGACTTAAAAGGTTTTATATGCAAACAATCTTACAGCTCTTGAAATTATCTTTAAAATGCTTTTTTGTAGGAAACTAGAGCCTCAAAATTAACCGAGTTATGGTAAAAAAACCAATGACATTTTTTCGGAGCGAAATAGGCTTTCTCATTTTTATATATTATACAAATATAAGTAAAAAAATTTAGTGTGATTATTTATATGCAGCGTAGCAATTTTTTTATGATTGATTATATTTAAAAATCGATTATAATAAAAATATTTTACATTAACATTGGTAAAAGGGTAGTTTATAAGAGTTGAAAATGGCAAAAGAAAAATATTCTTTCATAAACAATATAAGGGAAATTTTTATTTTTAATTATTGCACAATTATAGTATTCCAAGATTTAAAACGTAATTTTTTATCATTTTTTTAGCACAGGGGTGATTTATAAGGGTTGAAAACTGTTATGAGATACAAATTTTTTCATAAGCAATGAGGGAATTTTTATCAATACAGGGGTGGTTTTTAGGGGTTGAAAAGGAAAAATTCTTTTATTAACTTTTATTTTAAATAATTGCATGATTTAATCATTCCAAATCTTTAAAAAGTAATTTTTTATGATTATTTTTTGCATAGGAGTAGTTTTTAAGGGTTAAATAAAGGATCGAAAAGATCAAATATATCATAAAACATGTTCGAGAACATGAAACATTATTTAATCTTTGTGCTTGAACAAGATTTTTATCAATAAAATGCTTAAAACTTAATTTTTACAATTTTTTTCACTTAGGGGTAGTTTTTACCCCTAAAAAACAAAAAGCGTCAATCGGGCTTGTGTCACTTTTGAACTTGAGCCTAAGATGAGTCTTATTCTAAATTTTCATGCCAATCCATGCAGTTTCAAAAAATTCTGAGGTTACAGCTGATTTTCAGCTTCAATGACTGTACTAAAAGTTAATGTATGTAACTACCTTTCCAACTGTTTGTGTCCCTTCATGCTGAACTCTTCCGATGTAGAGAATTTCACCGTCCGAAGTTCTGCCCCCTTCTATAGCACCCGGTGGGATATATCCCCCGTGGTTAGGAATCCAATCAAAACGCTGCTCGCATAAAACCTAAAATAAACTATTCTAAAGTATCCTGTATCCTAAAGGATCTAATCTAATAATAATAATAATAATAATAATAGATCCTAAAGGATCTAAAGTATCCTACAGGAGTAAGTAATTTATTATATCCAACTCAGTAAAATCCTTGAAAATTTTATGCGAGAGATATAACATACACCATATCGTTGACTGAAATATTGTACTATATTTCAATCAACGGCCATATCTTAACATCATAAATGTCATTGCTACTCAATGGCTCAATGCCTACTGCACTGGGAACAAATCATTACTTTGCACCTACTGGCCTTGGCCTCTACCTCCTACTAATCTGTACATGCTATGAAAGCAAACTTGTTTTTTACAATGAAATGTATTTTAATCTATGTATTACAATTTCGATTGGAACATCAGAAATGAATCGCAATTATCATCTACTGTTAGAATTAGAATAAGTAGATAGCATAAACCTAATTAACAACGCGGCATTCAGTGAAAACAAACGTCAGACGAATGGATGAATGCCAACATTTTACCAAGGTAAAAAATTTTAACTTACTTGAAATGAGTCTTTGTGATACTCTTCACCCTCGTAGGAGACATAAGCGATATTCCGCCCAGGTATAACCTTAGCCGGAAGCCAGTCGCCGTTGTGATAAGCTCTCCCTACATAAATTTGCTCGCCATCTATGTCGACGCCACCATGGAGAGCGGTGGATGGTATACCTCCCCAAGCATGTGTGTCTACCCAATAATAAGCTGGAAAATACATATTATAAATACGTTCCAAACTTATCAGAAATTATTTATGGTTATTGGTGCCGCTTGGCAAAAATAAAAAATACGGGTCCATTAAATTTGTCTTAAGAATCTGTGACCAAATTTTGTTGCATGAATTTCGGGACACCCTATATAATAAAAAACCCTTATTTCAGGCCACAGAATTCGCCCCTGGATTTTTGACCTCTACTTAAGAAACACCCTGTATTAAGGTGTAAAGAACCTAGCTGTAAATCCACTTAGCTTGCAATGTCTGTTATAAGTAATTAAAATATTGATGAAAGACAAGAATAAAAATGAATGATTGCAAATTAATTTTTATCTCGAAAAAATTCCAACGTGACAACAGGGAACCTTTTAATCTATGATTTATTACATGTTATAACGTACACTTGTTTATAATCTATTTACAATAATCAGGCGAGTTTACGTTTATACTAAATTAACAAATGGATAATAATAACCATGCAAAGTCCTTGAGAAAAGTTATTTAGATAATTTTTCATATGAAGATGAATATAAAAAAAAATGTGTCATTCTCATATTTCCCGTGTCACAACAAAGCGATACTACAACATATGCATTAAATTTAAGGGGAAGCAACTACATGTTAATAACTTACCCTTTACCGAACTTTCGTCTATGGGGTGGATAGGGCGAAATGCAGAATATTGGATGTGGGGGGAGTAACCAGGAGGTAAGACATGGTAAAATGGGGGTTTAAAACCGTTAGTGGGGTTACAACAACTAAGCGAACACGGTACCCCTCGTGGATAAGTCGGTTGTGGCTGTGGACAAGAAAAATGTTCACTACTCTCCTGGGGAGCGCTAGGGAGAATTTCAGGTTTAAATCCGTATTCTACAAAAATACGGGTACTAAATAAGTGAAATTGTTAGTGACAAGCGTATGTTTAATTAATTGGCAACAAATATTCAGCTTTTTAAATTCCTGCAAAAAATAATCGTCTCTTTTTCATCACTTCAATCGGTTCAGTTTCAAGTGCTACTCTTGTATTTTCAATATTCGTTCTATTGATAAGGTAGTCGTGACGCCTAAAAAATAAAATTGCAATCTTAACATTTCACTTGTACTGAATTTTTACCATTATTTTAATTTAAAAAAATTGTATAGATATACATCATACAAATTATATTATTTATAAGTTAAAATAATCCGTTTTCTTTATCTTAACACAAGCGTCGTCATATTTTGAGCATTAATTTAACTGTGCAGTTATTTTTTTCCGACTTTGTTGTACATAAAATTAATCCTATGATACACTCGAACGCCTACTACTTTACGAACAAAAATCGTCACCTGTAACAGAACTTTCAATTGATCTAAAATTACCTATACGCGATATGTTGCCAAAAAATTAACACATATTTTTTACAACACATGACACTCACCTGCCATATTTTTACTACAGTAAAGTTGTAGATTGTGTGTGTAATTTCGTGATAATCACACTATCTTATCTCCCATTGACATTAAACAAATGCCACTCTGAAATTTGTAACGTGACAGTAATAACAACATTGCAAAACTTTTAACAATGATGATTAAGACGAGTTGACCTGCTGTTTACATTATTACCCATATTAACTTGAACGGATAATCACAAATTTTAAATTTTGCCTAATACATAGAAATCGAATGCTTACGCTTAATTTAATTAGCTATACAACTGTTTAAAGTCGAGTGGTTTTAGAGAATGAGAGTCGATATAATAATAGCATGCTTATAAGCTGTTATCGTATGATATGACATCAAGTTGATTAATCTCTAGTAATACAGGGTGTTTCAATTAAAACTTACCACCTGGAAGATATCGGAATTAAAAAAAAACGAAGAAAACCTGAGACACTTTGATTTTCTTTTGATCGTCATCCTGACAAAAACACTTCACATCGGTACGTCCAGGATTTAGTACATAAATTTTCAGAAACTGGATCGTTTGCAAAGAGAAAGCATCAACGTGAACGGTCGTATGTAATGAGAGTAATCAGGTAGCTGTCCCCGGTCACATAGCAATGGAACTAATTTTGAGTCTCCGGAAACTTGCAAGTACCTACTTCAGGAATTTCTGTACCTAGTTGCTGTCGAATTTGGTACAAAAAATTTATGAAGACGATCCTGATCGCCGCTTGTAGTTCTGTGAAGAAATGAGTGATCGTGCTTAAAGGAATCCAAATTTTTTGTGCTCGATTTGTTTTTCCGATGAATGTACGTTCCAACTAGATGGTCGAGTCGACCGCCATAATTACCGCTACTGGAGTGATGAAAATCCATACATTTACGCAGCATCCGAGGAAATTGAATGTTTGGGCAGGCATACTATGAGACCACCTCAAAGGTGTATCTGAATCTACTGGAAACGAATATCTACCCGGTAATTGCGGAAGTATTGGAAAATGACAACGCTCTGCCAGAAGAGGATCTGTAGCGTGATTTTCTTAATAAGAATTTTCCAAATCAGTGGATGGTACGCAGGGATTCAATTTAATGACCTCCCAGACCGCCACATCTAACGCCCTTGGGCTTTTTTCTATGGGGACATTTAAGTCGAAAATTTATGCAACAAGACCGAACTCATTTGAAGAGCTTCGTCGGCGAATTGTTGAAGAATGTCGTGTGGAAAGAAAATCGACGTGTCTCAGGTTTTTTGTTTTTTTTTTAATTCTGATATTTTCCAGGTGGGAAGTTTTAATTGAAACACCCTGTATAATGAAATTTTACGATTTTATCTGCACTAGGGATGATATTACGGGAATTTTTGTATTATTGGTTTACTATTTTTAAATATTGTACATAGTGGGCCAATTTTGACGCTTTTAGGGGGTTTCCCAAAGAGTTAGACAGAGTAGTCAATTGAGCAATGAAAACTATCTTGATATGTTGATTCGTTTAAGATGTACAGGGTGTTTTCAATATTTAGCCATGTTTCCTAAGATGTCGAATAATTTTTTTATTTGTGACATTTGTAAGTGTTTGTAGAGGTTTTATTCAGTTTTTTTGTAAGATTCAGTGGCATTCATAACATTTTTCTTTGTTTAAATGATACAGGGTGTTTGTGATGTCAAATAAGTTTTACCTATTTTATTTTTATATTTTAGTTTTTGTAGTAGTTTTCTATTCAATTTTTTGGAATTTTTTTTCCTAGAATTTAGTGGCATACAAAATATTTTTCCTTGTTTAAGAGATTGTTTAGTGATCTTTTTGTGGGCATATAACTTTTTTTATCTCCAAAATATTTTGAAATTTTTGTTTTAGAAGTGGTTTACTTAGTTTTTCCACATAATTAGCGGCATACGTAATATTTCCCATAACTTCTGGTTTTTCAGATTTGCTTTTTGCCTGCCTGGCGCTCTGTTGTTGTATCACATCAGGTGTATCGATATTATGTAGTTCACCTACCTACGTCAATGCCGGAGGTCACCGACATTGAGATTCACAAACTCAATGCCGTACTTTAAAAAAATACTTTTTATTAAATGAATTTTAAAAATATTTTGAAAAATAACAATTTTTTAAACACAAAAGAATTTTTTTTAATTTTCGGTGGTTCGTCTGCATTCACATAGAAAAAAATGTAGTGAATATAAAATAACATTGTCTCAAAGTCGTACAAAGGCAATGTTTTTACAAAACTATTTTCTATTGCAGTTTCGCTTTTATTTGCGACTCCATTAGATTCATATAATTGATTTAAAATACATATATCCGAGTTCAGGAGCTGCCCAGTGACGGCGTAGACAAGAATTTAAGTGCAGTGAACAAAATGAATTAAAAGTAGACTATTTATTTGATTTTAAAAAAAGTTGTTTTCAGATTGTTACTCTAGGGCAACGGTCGGCAACATACTGGACCGCCAAAATTTTTTTATGATAAATTCAATTCAAATAGATTATTTAAAATTTTTTTTTTACGTTTTAGCCTTATAATTTTTTTTAGTACTTTACAATTGTGTGACTGATTTGAGTTCTTAATGGTTAGTAAGCAGATTAAATTTGAGTCTAAATGAAAATAAAAAATTAGTAAGAAATTTCTCTTTATTGTATTTTTTTTTTTGGATCTCTTTTCGTAAATATGAATTTTTTTCTGGACCTCCTTAAAAATTTTCAAAAGTATCCGGACCCCACCTAAAATTACTTGCTGACCCCTGCTCTAGGGTCTAGGACAGGGGTCGGCAAGTAATTTTAGGTGGGGTCCGGATACTTTTGAAATTTTTTAACGAGGTCCAGAAAAAAACTCATATTTCGTACTAATTTTTTATTTTCATTTGCATTAAGAACTCAAAACACACACAATTGTAAAATACTAGAAAAAATGATAAGGGTGGCACTCAAACGTAAAAAAATATTTTTTAAATAATTTATTTGAGTAATTTATATTTTCAAAAAATTTTTGGCGGTCCAGTATTTTACCTTCCACGGTCCGGATCTGGACCGCGGTCCGCCAGTTGCCGACCCTTGGTCTAGGAAATGCTTATTATTCTAAAAAATATATTTTTCGGTTTTTGAAATTTGTGCAAAATTTTCTTTCGAATGAATACACCACGATAAAATCTAACCAAAAACAAAGAAAGCTGTGCGTCTCTTGAACGTATCGAGATATCGAAATACAGATTTTCAACGTTCAATTTTTCTCAAAATTCAAGCCTCTCGGGGCCTGATTATTTTTGGTCTATCTACATGGGAAATCGGTAAATTGCTAAATGTGTCGAAATTGAGCCACCCCGTACATCTGAAATTTAATTTATTTATTATTTACTTCTTCATTATATTCTATTTATTTATTTTATTTTTAAAACTTTGTCAAACAAAAACGTAATATTAGTTGTAAAAAATATATATTTATAGTAAATGTCTTAAATATTTCAGAATTGCAAAGGAAAAATATATATAAAAAACACTTATTGCGAAAAAAACTCAATTGATCATCTACTACTGATCCCCTTAGCCTAAACGCTACAACTCAAGGTCTAAGAACTAAGATTTCATAATTTGGATAAGCAAGTTCCTTCCCATCGAATGGAATATAGAGAACTCCATGGCTGGGATGAACCTGGAATTGAAAATAAAAAATAATTGACATTAAAATTTCGCATAGGACGTTTCAATAATCTTATGTTTTTATTATTACCTTGCCAACAGTTTGCGAACCCTCATGCTCTACTCTGCCGATAAACAACGGTTCCCCGTCCGACGTTCTGCCCCCTTCAACGGCACCCGGTGGAATGTCTCCACCGTTGGTTGGGACCCAATCGAAACGTTGCTCACAAAGCACCTACGGATCAAAAATATAATAAAATCCATTAGATTACATATTAAATGATTTATAAATAAATACAAATTACCTGAAAATTGTCCACGCCGATTTCTTCCCCGTTATAAGCAACGTACGCTACGTGTTTTCCTGGAATGACCTTGGCGGGGATCCAGTCCCCATCGTGGAAAGCCCTACCGACGTAAATCTGGTGTCCGTCGATGTCTACGCCACCGTGCAAGGCGGTGGTTGGAATGCCACCACGAGCAACGGTGTCAACCCAGTAGTAAGCTAGAGAAATTATTGTTATTACTAGAGTTTGTTGGACATTTACTTGCTAGTTTCATGTTAAACATAAATGAAGACGAGAGCGACTCTTAGATTGTAGATAAAGGATTAATTTATAATCATCCGATAAAAATGAATATATGAAATTAAAAACACTTCAATAGTTAATCAAGGACCAATTTTGTAAAGTGTTTTTAAACCGTTATTCGCTGCTCCTAATCTGATCAATCTCTAAACTCTGAGTCTCCAAACTATGGAGATAAGGCTTGTTATATTAACTTTTGGCCAGCTTATACTACAGCGCTAGAAAAATTTTTAAAATAGCAAAATTTTCATACCGGCAAGTTTTAAATACACATATAATGTGTATCTATAAGTAGGAGGTTTGTTTTTTTAGGCATTAATAGTATGTGTTCCCCAGAATACTAATCTGAAATCAGTTTTTTTTTAATTGAATCGAGTCAAATTATAATTAGTTTTTAAACTGCATTTAAACTCTTGTCTACGCCATCACTGGGCAGTACCCAACTCAATTGTATCGGCGTGCTTATAAGTAAAACTAATTTCATGTGTTTAAGTGAATTACATAATCTGCATTTACTAATCCACCTGATATGATATGACAATAAACTGTAATATGGAAATGCATCATACATGCCAAACACTGTATTGTCAGCATTGTTTATTTTCTGTTAATTAAATTTATGCCGATAAAATGTACTCAGAAGGAAATCCCAAAATTCCCGAAAACATGTGGTATGTTTTTTTATATTATATTTCGTTTTTATGTTTTTGTTTTCAAAGAAGTATAATAAAAAAAAATCTTTCATTACACGTCCAGAAATAGATTTTTCCCTGCTTGCATGACTTCCATGAAACACTCACGGAAAAATCCTTATTTCCAGATTCCTAATGAAATATATGTACTATATTGATAACCTATACTTGTTATTTTGTTAACATATTTCTAGGTACTCTATCTGGATGGTACTTTAAAAAATTTGCATATTTTATCAGTTCAGCCAATTCTGCTACAAACGGATTTCACCTCACGATTTGTTGATAAAATCAATCACATACTATCATTATTTGCTTTTATCATGAGGAAGATAAGCTGCAGAATCAATAATACAATCGTACTTAAAAAACTTACCAGGTCCTTGAAATCTGTACTTATTGTTAGTTTTGTAATATTCAATTTATGAAATATTTCTATGGTTTGAAATTGTTATAAGTATAAGATGAGAACAAAAAATATGAAAGAAAAATAATTTTTTTTTACAAAAAAATTGACAATTTTAAATCACATCTCTGCTAACTTTTGTTAAATAGCACTAAAAATAAACACAGGTAATACTACAAGATTAAAATGTGTTAAAAATAAGCACAGTGAAAACAATTGAAATTTTAATATAAAAAGTAAAAACACTTTTAAATGCCGCAAAAATTGATACAAACAGTTATTAAAAACTTCCAATGCAAGTTTGTATATTTATTTTAATAATAGAAAAGTGTGTCAAACTTACCAGCCATTTGAAGTGTGCAGTGAACTGATATCAATGGAAATATGAAGATCCAGGTAAACAACCTGCCATAGTATATATAGAACTACCTACCCTCCCATTTCTGTTATCTTATCTGAGCAATTAGTAGTAGGAGAATGACTCAAAAGCCAAACAGGACACTGGTTCTTCTCGAAAATACAACACATAACTACTCGTTTACACTTACGCTTCCTGCTAATTTATTATTAAATATATTTTAAAAATTATACATGTGATAAATAAATAACAATCCTACGTTTATTCTTAAATTATTTCTTGGATTCTAACTGGGTAATCATGTTGCCAATCTTTTCGTTCAGTTGCGTTTGCGGGAACTGTAAATTACATTTGCTCTGTACGTAGAGAAGACCCTGTATGTCTCTCTGTTGGAATGCGATTTCTGCCGCCTCTTCTAGACACCTAAAAAAGGTGTTTAGTACAGAAATTAACAGAAATGTGTCAAGTTTGAGGATGATTATAATTTAAATGCTTTTACTCGACAACTTATACAGGGTGTCACAAAAAAGTACTTTCTTAGAAAAGAGGGCTCTCCTTATGCCATTTTTCATTTAGGAGTTTGTTTTTCAAGATAGAGGGTGTCAAAACAACATTTTTAGAAAATATTTAGGATATTTTTTATAATTTTTTTGAAGTAGATTTTTTAAGATAGGTATTTTTTATCCTATGCTAATATTTTTTGTGTAAGTTTTGTGTAATATTGTGTGTAATAATGAAGAAATGGAACGTTTTTTTTAACCAAAATTACACAAACAGTGTACAAATGTTCAGATTCAAATCTTTGTAAAACTTCAACTACAGAAAATGATAATGATCTGAAATTATAATTTTTTTAATCAAATGAAAATAATGCAGACATTTTGTAAAAGCGGATTGATTTTGTACGATTTTGTGACGGTTAATTTAAAGTCCTTATATTCTTTTGTCAATGCAAAAGAATGTTTGATTGTTTTTAAAAAAATCATATTTTTTGTATGATTTATTAATATTAAGTAATATTGGTATGTGGATAGTCAAAAATTATTTTTTGTAAGTAAACAAATGTATGTTTTGAAATACATACATAGTAATTTTTGTTACTTTGTAGATTGTAAAAAATAAATAAGAATCATATTAAATTTTAATAGTTTTTTTTTAAAGCACTGTGTTTAGTTTGCGAATCTCTGTGTCAATGACCTTCGACATTGTACCTTACGAATTAATTATGTGCTTTTTAATATTTTCCAGAAAAACCTGTTTTCTTTGAAATTTGTAATATAATGAAATTGAAAATTTAAATTTGATGAAAATAGGAAAGGAATTTTCTGGAGCTGCAAAGATATAACAAAAAAAATTAAATCAATATCAAATTTTTTATTTAATTATAATTTAAAAAAAAACAACTTTTTATTTATTATTTTCAACAATTTTTTATGGACTTCCATATTTAGATTTCTTATGCAAAACTACTTCATCGCTGTCGCAAATTTTTTATTTTTTTTGAAAGTATTAAAAAGTGCATAATTAATTCCTAATAAATCCTGTAAAATGATATGTTTGATGCTCATAAATATTCAAATCTTGGAAAATTGTATAAGATTTCCCAAGAATTTTCCGCAATATTTTTTTCTCTAATTCACTTCTGATATTTAAAAATTAATTGACCATTAATTTGGCTCCAAAACAATAATTTTCACATAAACTGTACCTCATTCAAAAAATATATGGGAAAATTATTGGGAAAATCGAAATTTTTCCTAGGAGCAATTTTATAAAAAAAATAATTTTGAATAACTTTTATTTGAAACTTCTTTTCGAAAAAATGCATCTTCTTTGAGATATTGACAGTTTTTGGTCAAAAAACGCGAAAAATCATATACAGGGTGTCTGATAATTAGTGTCCAATAATTTACCACTTGATTCTATTGCTAAAAATAAAAATATTTTTTCATATAAACATGGGTCGAGAAATGCTTCCTAAGGGAACTACGCCCCCCTAAATGGGGCCTCAAAAAATTCATTCATTCATTTTTTAAAATATTTAAGAAATGAGTTGAAGGAAAATTATTAATTTTGACACCATGAATGCTCATTAAAAGTCGAAATAGTTCCTCATGTTGGCCTCTGAATTTGAAAATTTGAATGAGCAAGATGATCTATTTTGACATTTAATGAGCGTTCATGGTGTCAAAATTCATAATTTTCCTTCGACCCATTTCGGAAATATAAAAAAAAATGAATTTTTTGAGGCCCCAATTAGAAAGCATTTCTCGACCAATGTTTACATGAAATAATATTCTTATTTTTGACAATAGAATCAAGTTGTAAATTATTGGACACTAATTATGAGACACCCTGTATATATGTCTATCTCAAAATGCCTTTTCGTGGAAAAATTTTGTCGCAAATTTGATTTTTTTTAAATTATTAATTAGCTAGAAAGCCATTGAATTTAGAAACTTGTTTGTCCCTTGATTTTTGTTTCGTAAAACGCAATGTTTTTGAGGAAAATGGCGAATGAAGATATGCATTCGATCACATTTTGACGTTTTACGAAAAAAGTATAAGGAGACAATAAGTTTCTAAATTTAATGGCTTTCTAGTGGACTGATAATTTTTAAGAAATTTAAATATGCGACCAAATTTTTTTTGGCTCCAAAGACAAGGGGGCCCACGAAAAATTGTCTTAAGGGGGTTCCCCGCCAAAAAACGTAGCACCATCAGATTCCACATGTCATAAAATCCCTGTGTACCAAATTTAGTGATTCTCGTACAACAGGGTTNTGTTTTCTTTGAAATTTGTAATATAATGAAATTGAAAATTTAAATTTGATGAAAATAGGAAAGGAATTTTCTGGAGCTGCAAAGATATAACAAAAAAAATTAAATCAATATCAAATTTTTTTATTTATTTATAATTAAAAAAATAACACCTTTTTTATTTATTATTTTTAACAATTTTTTATGGACTTCCATATCTAGATTTCTTATGCAAAACTACTTCATCACTGTCGCAAAAAATTTCAAAGAAACCTGATTTTTTTTTTGGAAAATTCCTAATGAATCCTATAAAGTGATACGTTTGATGCTCATAAATACTCAAATCTTGGAAAACTGTATAAGATTTCCCAAGAATTTTCCGTAATTTTTTTTTCTCTAATTCACTTTTGATATTTAAAAATGAATTGACCATTAAATTTGGCTGCAAAACATTAATTTTCACATAAACTGTACCTCATTCAAAAAATATACGGGAAAACTATTGGGAAAATCGAAATTTTTCGTAGGAGCTATTTTATAGAAAATTTAATTTTGAACAACTTTTATTTGAAACTTCTTTTCGAAAAAATGCATCTTCTCTGAGATATTGACAGTTTTTGGTCAAAAAACGCGAAAAATCATATACAGTACAATGTTTACACAATATTCTTATTTTTGACAATAGAATCAAGTGGTAAATTATTGGACACTAATTATGAGACACTAGTCTATATGTCTATATGTCTCCTGTCTATATCTCAAAACGCTGTATGTTACTGGTGGTTGCGTGTGTGACATATGATTTCTAACCTAAAAGCCTATAATTTTCTTCAAAAAAGTTCGCTTATCCCGCTTTTTATGTCTAACTTTCCTAGAAGTTTACTTTTATAGTAAAATTTAAAGTGGTATTGATCCCAATTTAGTGGGAAGATTACAGAAAAATGGTAAAAAATCAGTTTTCACAATGGAATTTAAGATATCAAACCTGTAATATGTGTTTCTAAAAAAAGGCAGCTTTCCTACAAATATTACCCAGATTCAAAATACACTCTGTACAGCATAACATCCTTTGTATAAAAAAAAATACTTCAGAAATACAATACAGGGTGTTCCGAAATTCATGTAACAAAATTTGGTTATAGATTTTTAAGACAAATTTAGGGGACCCGTATTTTTTCTTTTTGCCCACTGGCCCCCTCTTTCGGATTTACAGCCCCCTGAAGTCCGCCCCTAGAATCTTTTTTTTATATCTCAGAACCCTGTTGTACGAGAATCACTAAATTTGGTACACAGGGATTTTATGACCTGTGGAATCACACAGTGCTACGCTTTTTGGCGAGAAACCCCCTTAAGACACTTTTTTGTGAGCCCCCTTGTCTTTGGAACCAAAAAAATTTTGTAGCAAATTAGTTTTTTTTTTAAATTATTAATTAGCTAGAAAGCCATTGAATTTAGAAACTTTTTTGTCTCTTGATATTTGTTTCGTAAAACGCAATGTTTTTGAGGAAAATGGCGAATCAAGATATGCATTCGATCACATTTTGACGTTTTACGAAAAAAGTATAAGGAGACAAAGAGTTTCTAAATTTAATAGCTTTTTAGTGGACTGATAATTTTTAAGAAATTTAAATATGCGACCAAATTTTTTTGGCTCCAAAGACAAGGGGGCCCACGAAAAATTGTCTTAAGGGGGTTCCCCGCCAAAAATCGTAGCACCATCAGATTCCACATGTCATAAAATCCCTGTGTACCAAATTTAGTGATTCTCGTACAACAGGGTTCTGGGATATAAAAAAAGATTATTCTTAGGGGCGGACTTCAGGGGTCTGTAACTCCGAAAGAAGGGGCCACTTGGCAAAAATAAAAAATACGGGTCCCCTAAATTTGTGTTAAGAAGCTGTGACCAAATTTTGTTGCATGAATTTCGGGACACCCTGTATATGAAGATATTAGCAAAAGCACAATTTTTGCCCATTATAAATTTACATTATAAAAAAAATGTATGTATTTCCCTTCTTCCAAATCACGAATAGACTGCAGCACTCAGACATAAATAAATAAATGAATGTTTACTAAACTTTTACACAACAAATCGTATACATATACTTTATATTTCTGTTAAAGTAAATTAAATGAGAGCGACAATTTATAAAATAAACCCATGAGTAATAATTTCAGGGTATTACTTTCCAATCAGTTCAGGCATTTCCTTTTGCTGAAAAGTGATTTCTTAATTGTTATCTATTGGAACGTTATCTGAGAATAAAAAAACTGTGGAGCAGGTAGTTTAAGTAATATTTACATAGTGATCAAAATGTTTACTAGTCTGCGGGAGATAAGATTAAGTATTTCTAGAAGTACTTGAACGGCAGAAAACAATTGTACCTACGATTCGAACTTTAACCTGGCAAACTACACCGCGGAATAAATATTATTGTCCTCTGAAAACACTTGTAAGAATCAAATAAATTGAGTTGCAAGATAATTTAAATCGGGAAAAAAAAATTGAATAAAACCAAATTCATTGAAAAAGCGGGATCGTTAAAATATCAATAACAAATAAACATGAGTGAAATATAAAAGCGTCTCACTTACCCGACTTTAATGCAGTACTTTACTTTCAAGTCCTCGCTGACCCTCGACAAGTACTTTAGCGCCTCTTCCTTGTTATCGTTCTGAAGGCAAACGTCAACGAAGGGCGCGTACCCGATAGGAGATTTTTTTACTTTAGAAAACTTTTCCAACTCTACCCACTCCTTCTGCTGCGCCAGGCTGTCTATTTTCAACCACCAATATCTAAAATAGCAGAATTCCCGTCACGGCCTTCCCCCTTATCACCAAACTGCATCGGATTTATCTGTTTATCAGTTTTTATCACGCTGCAATTTAAAAAAATATACCTTTTATCTGGAATCTTGTAGTCGTTTCTGAATTTTTCAGCCAACTTGGTCTCGTTCATCTCCAAGAGCGACTTGCAAGTGTTGTGCACCGACAAGCCGGCGAGTTTGTTTTTAGCGGCCGGTAATTTCTCTTCGATGTCCCTCTGGAACCTCAACAGCTTCAAAGTCTCATCGCACATTCCGGCGTACAAATCCTTCCTACCTTTCTTGTAAGCCTCCATGGCAGACGTTAGTAACGAATCTTTCATATGCTTTTTCTAAAAGTTAACCTCCTGGAATAAAACGATTAAATACTTTGATGGATTTTTACCTTTTCATCCAGACTCTCGAGTATGAAAGTTTGAGCTTGCGCAGAAAAATCGTCCTCTTGGATGTAAATCTCGTTCAAAGCCTGCGTGTTGTGCTCTTTGCAGTACTTTATGTATAACGATTGGGCAACGGGGAAATTTCGAATCGTCATCTAAAATGAAGTTTTAATTGGAACATCCTGTAAATATAAAATAGGTGTAACAAAAATTAGGTCTGACATTTTACCTTGAAATCGCCAAGCGGCATTTTTTCCCTCAATTTCAAAATAACCATATAAACTAAGTCAGTGTCTCCGCTCTCGATAGCTTTAATAAGGGCGGGAGTGTTCTCTCCTAACTCTAAGAGTAATTTGACTTGTTCGCTAGCCTTCGATTCGTAATCTAACAACTGTAAAATTATTAGTAGTCCAGGCGATATCTGTTTCGGGTCAATGTCAACAAGTATTATAAGCCTTAATTATTTAAATTTTAAAATGGCGTAAGTCCATCTTAGTTGAATAGAAAAAGGCCAATGTATGGAGTTTGGTCCTTGAAATACTTTGAAAACGTTTGACAAACGACCAAAGTCCACTGCGATCGACTTTGGCCCTTTTTCTACTAAGTTCCAGATTTAAAAAATTGCAAAAATGCTAGTTTATTTGTCAATTTTTTCAGACACTTGAATAATACCTAGTATATTCATACTTTTCCCAATTAAACTTCTTAGTGCATAGAATCGTCACACCAAATTTCATCCAATTCAGTTCGATAATTTTTACATAATAATTGTTTAATTTTTTTTTTAATTAAAAAATTTTCAAAATCAAATTTCTAAAAATCTAAAGCCTTTGAATACTTGAAAATTTCACCACAAAAAGAAGAGCTCTCAAGCTTTAAAATGCTTTTAGAAAAATTCAAATTGGACGATTAGGTGAGCCGTGGTGACTGTTTAAACATTTTCCCAATATTCTCGCTTATAAACAATTGCAATAATTTAATGTTTTTAAAAATTTTTTTTATTTTAAAATATGGTTTGAAAGTACTCGGAAAAACGAGTATTTAAAAAAAAAACCTTATGATCCGCCCATTATTCCTATTCCAAGTACTTTATAGATATAAATTTTCAAAATTTGCAATCACGGACGTCCCATTTAAAATGTCACTCAGATATTCAAGACCGCGTGAAATCAATGAGGTATCAGTGGTGAGGGGAGCAAACACACAGCTACTCCGATCTGAATTCTCGAGTTCAAAACAACGACGCTCGGAAAAATTTCAATTATCTCAGCTTCTAATGGACCAATTTCGATGATTTTTTTTTTAAATCGATGTCTCACAATTAAAAAAATTCAATTATCATATTTTCAAGTACCTTTTATTATTAATTATTGGACTTTTGACATGCCGATAAACAGTTACTTTAAAAAATTATTAATTTATTATGTTTATTTATTTACTGTTAATATTCACTACCAAAATTTTTGCATGTTGCACCAGGTAATACTAGTAAGTTTGTTTAAATATTATAAAATTGTTTAAACAATAATTATTTAAATAAACAACTGAAAATTGGTATTAACGAGACTTTAACGGGCTATAACTCCGAAAATAATGGGCGGATCATCAGTTTTTTTTTTAAATACTCGTCTTTTCGAGGACTTTTAAACCATATTTTAAAATTAAAAAAAAAATTGAAAAAACATTAAATTATTGTAGTTTATAAGCGTGAAAATTGCAAAAATGTAAAAAAAACACTACGGCTCACCTAATCGTCCGATTTGAATTTTTCAAAAACCATTTTTAAGCTTGAGAGCTCTTCTTTTTGTGGTGAAATTTTCAAGTATTCAAAGGCTTTAGATTTTTAGAAATTTGATTTTGAAAATTTTTTAATTTAAAAAAAAATTAAACAATTATTATGTAAAAACTATGGAACCGAATTGGATGAAATTTGATGTGATGATTTTACACACTAAAGAGTTTAATTGGGAAAAGTATGAAGATCTTAGGTATTATTCAAGTGTCTGAAAAATATTGACAAATAAACAAACATTTTTTGCAATTTTTGCAATGATTTTTCCGATTTTTGCAGTAACAATAATTTTTTTTTTCAAACTGCAACTAACTCTTATATTGTTCAAAATTTAATTTCAAAACTTTTTTTCCTCTTCCATTTTTGTCTAAAATGAATAGTTGCTAAGTAGTCGACGAGAAATCCAAGAATTATTTTGCTATTTTTTTATACTTTTTTGCAATAACAATTAAGCCAACGTTATTTTTTATTTGCATAGAAAAATTATAATTTTTGATGTTATTTAGAAGCCGTTAGAGCAAAAATCTCCGATCATATGCGTTTTACCCAAGTATACACTTTTTAAAGCAGATACCACCTGGACTATAGGTAATTATTTGGAAAACACTGAAAATCTCATAAAATTTTTCCCGCACCCTATTTTCAAGGGTGCTGAATACAAATCTGAAGTTAGTTTTGTATCTGACGAAACGACGAAACTAGTTTTCAAAAACAAAATTTCAAAATTGTAATTGTAACTCAATTTTTTGTAACTTTTTTTTAGTAATTTTTCATACCCCGCCACTAGACAAGCTAATGTAACCTCAAATAACCACACAACTGACGCCCTTCACTTCGCACTGTTGACCCGCACTATCTCCCTTTACATGCACTGTAGACTGCTTACAATTCGTGTATTTGTAATACGTGAATGCTACAGTGGCGGCGTACACAAGTAGTAAAGTGCATTTTAAAAAACTACTTATAACTCGACTATTCATTTGATTAAAAACAAAAGAATTTCAGATTCGTATTCAAGGGAACACGTACTATTAGATTTGTGTCCGGTACCCCCGAAAATAGGATTATAAAATTTTTTATAAGGTTTTAAGCATTTCCAGTTACACTAAATAATTATCAACTATTAAAATCGATGAACCAGAGATAAAATATTTGTAACAGTACCTTTATTGCCAATTTTTTTCTTCCGTATTCCGAAGCTGTACTAGCAATCTCGCTGTATGATATACCCGAAGTGTATCCTAACTTTTCCGCTATTTCTCTAGCTACGGTTTCCTCTTCTAGCTGAGACTGACTAACCTAAAAAATTTTACGCAATAGAAAAGACTCGTAAAATCAATTAATAACCTAATGTACCTTATACTTTGCCCAGTGCACCAAAATGTGACTGCTCCCTTCCTTGTCCGGCAGTTTAAGATATTGTGCGATTTGCAACGCTAGGTAATAATTGTTCCTCGTTATTAAGCGATCCAGTAGGCTTTGCGCCCTCTTCTTCATAAAATTTAACCTAAAGCAGTGTTAAGCAAATATCTTTCGAGAGATTTTTAATAGTCAATGTCTTTAGAAGGATACTGAGTAATTGTCAGGGGAATGCCAACCTTAGGGTCTCGAACGGCATTCAAAACCCTCAACCACCGACACATATTTACGTAACTGTCTGATCTCATGTCGGCGATGAAGCATTTACCAAACTGTGCAGCCTGAAAAGAACATATTGTATACAGGGTGGTTCATAATGATGTGCAAATATTTTAAGGAGAAAGTAATTTTAGGGGGGATACATCCAATATATTTTTTTGATTTTTCTCCCTGAGAAAATATTCAGATCTCAAAATGGCCGAAACAATTATTTTTATTTTTTATTTTTTTTTCATTTAAACAGTTAAACTTAGAAATTTGAATTTTGGTACACGTTGAATGGTATTGTTTGGTAGTCTTTTTTTTCTGGTTTATGACTGAATGAAATAAATTAGCACCCCTTGGTTTTATTTCTCTCAAAATGTTTTTCTACGTTAACCAATTCCAACAAGAAAAATAGCTTTTAATACTACATTTCATTTAGAAACTTTTTTTACTCTTCTCATTTTTTCGTATACTTAATGGTTTGCGAGTAAATACATCAATTATTTTTCCTTGCCGATTAGGTACACATTAGTATAACAGTTACCCAAAACAATCGTCATTTTTGACATGCTTTTTGCAATAATTCTTTTTTATCGATAGGAAAAGCTAAGCAAATATGAACTAAAAATTTAATAAAAGAAAAATAAAAGCTAATTTTTTTCGCCATTTTGAGATTTGAATATTTTCTCACACCTTAAAATGTTTGCATATCATTATGAAACACTCTGTATATTTTGTGTGAATAACAATTTGTTTTTTTATTAATCAAATTATTTTTTCTTTTTTTGAAAAGCAACACTTATCTTTGCAAATTCACAATTTGTTTTATACAGAAAAAAAACAAATTGGATGTGGTCTATAAATTTTCGTTTCAAAACACCTAGTTGCCCTGACCTCTAGCTAACTTTTACTTTAACGAATATTTATTTTTATTACTTTGATTGCCTTGGACCTTATTGGTGTGTCTCCATAATTTGTTTGAGCCATCCATCCAGCAGTTTCATTATCCTTTTATTTTTTGTTCTGCCCTTCTAGACTTGGTTATGGCCTACCACTTTACTTGTTTGCAGTTTTGTTTACTGGAATTCAATTGTTTTACATCTCTTTCCTTAGACTGTAACTGTATGTTGATTCTTTATTGGATTTCTGTTTTATTTGTTTTTGTCTGGATTGTTTCCTTTGTTCCTAGATGAGACTACTGATTTTGTTTTTTGGCTGTTTTCATTACTTGAGTTTCTTTAATCCACAATTTCACTTGAGACGATTAACCTCTTCTTTTAATTTTATTTTAAATTTATGCAATTTGATTTATTGTCTCCAGAGCAATGTTTGACTTTGCTTATTGACTTGATACGAACTAGATTATGACCAATCCTGAGTCTTAAATAGGTTTTTACAGAACAAATGAATGTCGAAAACTTTGTTTTTTTTATACAATTTTTAAGTCTTCACACATTCAAGTTTTTTGAGTTTTTCACACCTTCACCCTCACTTCTTAAAACTAAACACTTTTACAACTATTTTTCTTGCATAAATATTTTCCTTACAACAACTTTGATATAATTCTTACAACGATTTTGAGAAATTTTCTTTTTATTCCGTTTTTATTGCCGTTCTGTTTTTCTATTTTTCGTTTTAAATTAACTTCAAAATATCAATAAAATCATTACTGAAACTACCTATTGATATAGCAATTTACTCTTTTTGATATAGAAAATATGGTTTTTATACAGGGTGGTCCAGATTTTAATTGACAAACTTCGGGAAAGTTTTAAAAAACAAAAATTAACATCACTTTGCTCTATGAACATAGACGCAGAAAACTACGGTTTATGAGATACAGGGCGTTGAAATTAACAAAAATAAACTAATTTTTTGAAATATCTGGAAAACCGCATCATAATATGTCTCATAACTCTTAAACCATTCACTTTTCGACAAAAATAAAAGAGTGTTTTTTCATCCGGAATATGTCAGACCGTTGTAAAATGTATTCATATTACCAATTAATTCAGTGGCATAAAAGTTTTACTTTAAATAAGGAAACGATATCATTGTTTCTCTGCCACTGGTTTTTGAATTTGGACTGTGTGCATACAGAACTAGGACAAATATTTGAAAAAAAGTTTGTACCAAATTTGGATAAATTTGATGAAGCGATTTTCCCGATATTTAAAAATTTTTTTTTACTTTTGTTAATTTCAACGCCCTGTATCTCACAAATGGTGGCTTTATGTGCCTATGTTCATAGAGCAAAGTGATGTTAATTTTTGTTGTTTAGTACTTTCTCGAAGTTTGTCTATTAAAAATCTGGACCACCCAAATTCGTTTCATTTTTCCTTATTTCAACGCTTTATTTACTTGGATAATATGTCTCATAACTTGTAAATTATTCACTTTTCGACAAAAATAAAAGGATGTTTTTTCATCCGGAATATTTCTGACCATTTTAGAATGGTCAGAATGGAATTCATATTACCAATTAATTCAGTGGCGTAGAAGTTTTACTCTAAATAAGTAAATGACATCCTTGTTTCTCCGCCACTGGTTTTTGGATTTGGACTGTGTGCATACAGAACTAGGAGAAATATATGAAAAAAAATGTGTACCAAATTTGGATAAATTTGATGGAGCGGTTTTCCAGATATTTAAAAAAATTGTTTTATTTTTGTTAATTTCAACGCCCTGTATCTCACAAATGGTGGCATTCTGTGCCTATGTTAATAGAGCAAAGTGTTGTTATTTTTGTTATTTAGTACTTTCTCGAAGTTTGTCTATTAAAATCTGGACCACCCTGTATACTAAGTGATGAATGAAATATTGAAAAATCCTGATGAGTAGGGCTGTCAGAGAGAGCCGCAATTCAATGTCATGCAAAGCGGGTCAATTGAGACAGACGCGAGCCGCTGCCTAAGAACGCTTTTCATGTTCACGTTAGTATACTGTTGCTTTATCGTACGGATGTTGCGTAATTAATTCCTATCCGTTGGTGTTTATCATATGGTGTATTGTAGACAATTTAATTTGTTGCTTTTTAATAAATAATGCGTACGTCTATGTCTCGCGGCTCCTTTCTGACAGTCCTACTGATGAGAGTTCAACGAAATGATATATGCTCAATTTCCGTATTAAAATCAAATTCAACCTTGTGCTCTGCCTTCTGGAATAATGTTTGTATGCTATTGCTTGTTTTTGGATAAGCATCTCCAATCAGTGTCCTTTTTTTATATACAAAGTAACAAAGTTTTCAGTTTTCTAGCGGTATTGTTAAACTTTTTTAAAATTTCATATGAAAATTGTTATGTTATTAATTTACTTTGCATTTTTATGGGTTTTCTAATCCATTAAATGCATGTGCAGGTAGTTTTTTTATTAGTTAAAATTTTGTATTTTAATTTTGTAAATTTGATTTTTGCCTCGTTATTTCACGTTTTCTCAGTGTTCTATTACAATTTCCTTTTTCTTTACTTATTTTTATTCTAACTTAAACTAAATTTTCAATCTTTTAGTTAACTGTTTTTTTTTTGGCAAATTTTATCAAAAATTTCAACAAAAGTTTATAAATACGCACTCCATTTCAAAAAACCGCACCAATTTATATATACCTATTAAAATACTAACGCGTCTTACCCTTATCAACATTTTTTGAACCTCCGTATCGAATTCATACCCAACGGCCTCGATACACTGGCTCACAGCAGTCTGCAGATCGTTCTTCACTAAACAGATGTACTCGTTAGCTTTGTGGCTCCCTTTCTACAACAAGTAACTTAATATTAGAGCAATTATTAACATCTTGCAAGGGAAGGAACCTACTTGAAACTGTTTAGACGCCTCGAGCAAGAAACTGCCCGGATCCGTGCTGTTGATTCGAAAAATCTTTTGGACCACCTCTGGAACTTTCTGCAGCAACTCGTGCTGCATGTTGGATATTATCCTGACACCGTCGATTTCCGACACCAGGTGAACGGAACTGTCATAAGAATACAGCATCTTCTGCCCATATTTACCAACCACTAAGAGGCTACAGTCCCGTTCCCAGTAGAGTACGACGGCTTCGTTGCCACACCTAAAAACGCAGTCACAAATAACCTTTTCACAAACATTTAAGCACAGGTTACTTACCAAATGAGTTGTTTGGGTTTGTAGATGCTGCTCGTATCAATTTCGCAGTACTTTGTTCTTAAGTCAGTAGAGCCGAGCCAGAGATGGCCAGAGTCCGTATAGAGAGCCAAGTGGCGCGCATTTAAAGAAACAGACATTTCTAAAATAGTCGTGTATTTGTTTGTAATGTCAGGTTCCAACTGAAATTAAATACGTTACAAAAGGAACAAATCGTGTTTTAAATGTATTACCATAGCACTGGTATGATGTTCATCCTGCTTTAATCTGTATAATTCTAGGCCTCTGGTAATTAAAACTTCTGTATTATTGTCTTCAGAAACGACTGCCCAACAAGTTGGATCGACAGTGGACCCTACAAGTTATTTATTAATAGGACCGATATTGTTTTTAGATGATTACAAATGTCTAGCAATTTAAAAAATAAGTGATGTCTGCAATCTTCTAGAACTGCAGTAAAAGACACAAAATTTGTCATTATCATCTACCAAGAGATTAAACAACAACGTTATGGGTTTTTTATATTCAAATCACAGCCCCAATACAAATAATTTGCCTCAAAAACACTTACTTGGTAATTCAGACAACTGCCTAGTTTTCGGCTCTTGGATATTGTGTACCAAAAATATTTTAAAGTTAGACGTCATCACTGCTATCCCGGTGAAGTTTTGGGGGCTGATAAAAATTTTAGCGTCTATAACTTTAGCGTCTTGCACCTTCTGACTTATGGTAAAAGTGTGTAAATATTTGCCGAACATATCATGAATAACCACCATTCCGTCCTCCTGAACGCATATTAACTTTTCATCGTTTGACCAGCCCATGTGAACAATCGGCCTCCTCGTCCACTATAACGCTTATTTATTATTTATTTTGTACAAAAGGTTGTAAATATGCATTTAAATTAACTTCTGTACCTTAAATGAAGCTATTTGTTTTCCCGAGCCAGAATAGATCGATATTATCGGTTGCCCGGTACCCTGAACCTTAACAAATTTTTTATCATCCCTACGGAGGGCTGTGGGGCCTCCGTAAGAAGCTGATGCGGCTACATAGTTTTCCAAATTTATTTCTTGATGCCATGCCATCGAGTAGATTTCAAATTTTCTGAAAGAGTGGAGTACTAAGTATTTTTTAAAAGGAAACCTTTTATATTTACCTATAATAAAGTTCTCGACCGAGCAGAAACCAGTCAGCGGTTAGCATTGCTGCAGACATTTTTGTGGAATTATAACAGCAATAAGTGGAGACTGTGCGGAATACTATCTAATTTAAAAACGTAAAAATTAAATTACCGACAAAATTTTCGATTGAAAGGTTTTTCTTTGTTGACATGTTACTGTCACTAGTGCACTAGTCATTTTATTTTTGCCCTCGTTGATTCTTTACTGACTGTATTCACTGTGTTGAGCACAAAATGCTATCTATAATTTCTTTTATAGAATAATCAAGGAGACCGTTAGATGGCACTGTAACCACATAAGAAAGGATAAAAATCAATATTTAAATGACATCTAGAAATTATGGGCGTGGTTTAACTCTATGACCACAGCAAATTATGATGTCATCACAAGACAAGATTCCTAACCTTTAAGATTCATGTTTGTTTACATAATTTTTTAAGTAAATATTTCGTGTTTGTATTTTGCAATAATTAGTTAGTTATTAATAATAGTTTTTAATAAGTTAATGGTGTAGTGTTTAATATAAACTGTTAATTTACCACGTAAAAATGCCTGGCTTGAGATGTAGTGTTGCAATTTGCTATAATAATTTTTATAGTGCTAAACAAGACAATTTAAATATTTTATTTCATGTGTTTCCTGTGGATAAAAAACGCGATTTGTTTTATCATCCAACTGGACAAATTTATAGTGCACATTTTGAAGATTCAGGCTTTGAACCGCCATCTCCAAGCAGAGCTATTAAGTTTACCATCAAGAAAAAGACTTTTAAAGAAAACAGGTATGTTTATTACAACAATAGAATAATAATTTAATTAAATCATTATTACATTTTTAACTATAGCAGTAATTGTGAGAAATCAGCAGATTACCATGTTTTGGTTTTGCTTTACAAATTCGTACCTTAACCTATCCTATACAAGAAAATATACCAGAAGCCGGTAGATATAGGACCAATATACACTGCTATTTTTTAAATTGTACATCTGACCCTGTGCACAAAAGTTGTGAATTATATGTATTTTAAATGTGCACAAAGCAGGCGCTATCGGGCCATTAGTTTTGGCACAATTGCAATTTGAATTTTTTTGGTGCACTATTTTGCAGAACTTCTGGATGTGTTAGAGGTGGTCCGATTTTTATTTTTCAGCCGGATTTTAAAAGTAGAAGTATAATACTACAAAACGTATATTCTATTTTCCGATAAAATGATCCGATAGGTGAAAAATTCCTCCAAACATACATGCGGAGTAGTGAGCGAAGATCGGGAGATGGGGGACAGTGGAATTTTATTTCAAAATTTCAATGGAGAAGTACAGTTTGCATATAAACGTAATATTTTAGACTCAAATCATTTCCTTAACCATAATCATAACTGGTCGAATTTGTTATTTTATGTTAAAAGGAGCGTGGTACAAGAAAATTGACAGTTTTAACTTTGCCTCTTATTTTCTTATGGGATATGCAATGAGTCAGAAAGAGATGACGGTTGAACGAAGATAAACAGAGGAGTTTGGTGACGTATTTGTTTTTTATTGGCTGATTGACTTATGCGGCGACTGTCTCTTTGGACCGTGAATGCGAACTACTATTATTTAAATTCACTTCGCTAAACGAAAGATTCATATTCAGTTTTAATCTAACGTATTTTTTCAAAATTTTCGATAAATTTCTTTCCCATCAGGGAAGTAAGTAGAGTTTAATAATTATAAATACGACGATGTTGAATAGCTTATCTTAAGGGAAGTGAAAACAATTTAAAAAATATTTAATTCCCACACCATAACTTATCCTCGATCATAGAGCTTCCTGTTTGTATAACAAAATGTATGGGTGCGATATCAAAAACATGTTAAATATCTGCATAAATTATTGAAATCCAAACATAAGTGAATATACCGTCCAAAGATGAAATAAATCTGTACAAATACGTACAATACAGGATTATGGGTATCGTCACAGTAGAACAGGTCTTTAGTACACAATATACCTACAGCAAACACACCGAAATATGAGAAGAGAAAGGTAACTTATTCTCTGTACTTTTACTGTTCCTATCAACGACACATCCTCACGTGTGTGCTGGAGCCAGTTAATGGGCACAAGAACCGCAAACGTACGTCTGACATTGAGTAAATAACTTGGGGTTTATCTTAAGGAAACTACTAGTCCAGCCAGCAGCCTCCACCAGTTAGTCAGTATCGAGGTGGCTGAGTGCGACTTGTTGAACGCCGTTTCAATTGTTACTGTAGGAACGACCGCGCGAGTTACTACCTTGATTTGGCGTTTAACATTCTCGCGTACGTTTTCAAGGGTTTCTACTTGATTGCAAAGACAAGTTTGGCTACCAGCGGGCATGTAAATTTGCGAAATTCGACGTCAGTGTATGTTGTCCATCATTCCACTTGGTTGGTGTGAACTTACTCGAGTGCTTGTACTTTATTGAACTTTGTTTTCGCCTGTTTGCTGTGAGTTATGAGAAGTTAATTTCGTGCCATTTTGGGATATAATCAAGAAACATAATTAAAGGTAAAATTTACATTTTATCCAATATAATTTGTAGGTTGTTTCATTTACCAATGTTTTGTTTTATCAAAGAAGCACTATCTCGACAGTAAATACTTTCATATCAGTACGTTGACAGTTTTTGATTAAGCATATCCACTTATGTCATTATAATATAGGTATGTGGTTAATATTAACAGTTACGTTTAAGTTTTTATGAATTGTAAGTCATATTATAGGTAAATATCTTATATCAGGAGATATAAATATACCTACCTTACCTTAATTTATATACAAAACATAAATAAAATTTTGAATGTTAATCACACATTTTTAATGTAAAATACTACTTTTATTTAATAGATTTCTTTAAAATTGTCTATTTTTAGTTAATATGGATGGTTGTATACGAAATTTATGAAATTTTTCTTCTGCTTTACCTACAGTTGTTTTTATTTCAAATTTTTTCTCGATTTTTTTTGGAATTTGAAAGTTCCTACTACTTTGTTTGTTATACCATACAAAAAAGTATTTAAGTACTTACTTTTATGAACTATTATGCATAAATCTACTAATTATTTAACGTTACATAATTAAGTATAAATAATTAATAGATCTCTGTAGAAAGCACTTACCTTTATGACTTTTATGGTTAATAGTAAATACTTAAATGTACTATTAAAGTATTGATATTTTATGATGCTTGCAATATTAGTTTTCTGCGTGCTTGTATGAGAAAATGTCAAGGCATCGACATTATTCTTGATTCAAATAAGAGAAGCGAAGTCATAAAATAAACAATAGAAAATTTGTTTATATATGTGACATACTCAGAAATGTTATGAAATGATGAAAGTTTTGAAATTTCCTTGTATAATTTTTTTCCTTGCTTGTATAGATAATTTAAAACTGGAAGAAATATGTTAATTTAGCTAACATCAGGGGCGAGCAGATAAATGAAATTTAATGGAGAAAATGTGATAGGGCGTCGCTAAGTAGTGCCTTAAAATTCAAAAAGTTACAAACCCTAACTCGAAACGATTTATTTTATATCATACTCACAATAGTCCAGTTACTATGTAGCTGGAAACATAGTAATACCTCCGAATTTTTTATAACTGCACCGATTTTTCTCAAAATTTAGAATTAGGCTCATCTTACCCCCCGCTTCAAAACTTATATATGCGCTAGGTGTGCTTTTTGTTCTTAAGGGGTGAAAACCACCCCTTATTGGAAAAAAAAGAAAAAATACAAATTTAAGCATTTTATGTAATCAAATCTTTTTTATTTGTTTGGTATGAGTAATTCCATGTGCTATTTAACATGAAACTTAATGTATCCCAAATTTTCAGCCCGGAAAAACCTTTAAAAACCACCCCTTTGGATGAAAATAATATACAAAAATTTTTTCAACTTGAAACGTTTTAATCATGCAAATCATGCAAATTAAAATTGATTTCTTGTTTAAAAAATATTTTTTATCGATTGCAACTTTTCAACCCTTGAAAAATACCCTTCTTTCGAAAATAAAATGAAAGAATACCTATTATTGAAAGAGTATAGAAACATTTTAAATGTGGATTCGTATTAAATAAACATTGATTCTCTTCCTATAAAACGTTATAATGCAAGTTTTCATACCTTCTTTCAAAGCAATTTCACTAGCTTTTACCAAAACAGTATACAAGGTGTTGTAATCACTTGGTGATCATCATTCTCATAAAACCATTCCATCAACCAACGAAATCATTTTCCTCTATTATAATATAGTACTGGTTTATTCCAATATACACTCATACTAAATAAATTTAAATGCTTCAAAATTCTTGTTTGATCTAAAATTTTCCTAAAATTATCACCTATAGGTAGAGGTCTTTTAATATCTCTTGAGCCGGGAAATGCGCGAAAGGCGTGGCGTCCATAATTCTTCTAATAAGCACGTTGTGAAAACATTGACTCAGAACTAGACCATGTTCATCATTACAAGTAGAAATGAACTAAGGCGCTCGGGCATCAATAAAGTCAACTGGCGAACGTTCGTTGTATATATTTTTTTATTGTTTAAATTAAAATAATAAAGAATAGGGCATTTTATTATGATATTTGTAATCGGATCAAAGGCTTGTTTACGCTAGTGCTCGAGAGAGACTGTGAATAATAGGTGTAATGTTTTTAAGACGTAGAATAATTTAGGCGACGGTCGGAATTATGTTTCTGCGCATATGAAGGTCAAAGCTCATAAGATTTTAAAACATTTTTACACGTGTTTATTTTTTCGACGATAACTTTCTTACTTTTTAATCGCACAAAGGATCATTTTGCAGGGAATTGTAAGGGCTACGTGAACTGTTGATCTTTTTTAAGCCGTTCATTTCTAAGTTTGAAGGGTTTAAAGGGCTCGAAAAGCTCATTCATATGATAACTTAAAATGGCGATATCTCGATTAATATTAATTTTAGAGAAATAAAAAATTAAAATCTTCAGCAAAAATAAAGCTAAATTTTTTTACTCTTGTATTTTTTTCGTACACCCTTTAATTTTTAAATTACAGCGTAAAAATCGAATTTTTTTCAAAAACTTGAAAAATTAATATTTTCAAAGATTAAGTTTTTTTCGAAGTCATGTTCGAAATCATGCTTTGTAAGTGAGCCTAAGACTCAAAACATATTCTTAGAAACATAAATGAAGAAATCTGTAAATGGATTGCATTTAATTTTAATTCTGTCGCCAAAGGCACTGATTTGTTTATTAATTTTTTCTTAAAAAAAAATGAGACTATCATGTTATTTCGATCATATATCCGTTAACCTTGATTCTAAAGACTTTTAAAACAGCTCATTTTAAAGGTTTTTCAAAGTACTTTAAAAAAAGTTCAAATGGTTTTTTTCCTAATATTTATGGTTTTGGCGTTATTTAACATTAACTGGTACCAATTTAGTTTTTAGCTAACATATAATAATGTTTAAAAATCCATAACTCGGTTTATATTGCAACTAGAGAAAAACAAAATAATGTCATTAGATTTGTTTTTTATATTACCTTTCTTTTTGTTCATTACAACTTTTTCCTTAAATCCAATGATTTCAGAGTTATTTGCAAAAAACTGTCTTAAAACAAGCACTTTTTCAGTAAAAAATCAACACCTTCAATGACGAATTACTCGGAAAGTATTGGATTATCTAAAAAACTTTATATAACATTTGTTACTTAAAATTGACTCCTCTATCGATCCCTTATTATTTTGGGCGTAAACATTTCTACCCCCGAGAAGGGGCGGGAACCACACCCAGGGTAAAAGCACACTTCGGCACTATATAAGTTTTGTTCCTTGAGGCATTCCCCACATTCAGTCAAAATTTCACGTCAATCGGTTCAGTTATAAAGAATTCGGAGGTAAAAACCCTGAGTAGTTGGACTATAATGTACCTACTTACCTACATCGTATATTCATTTGTAGCAGAATAAGAAAAACGATTTTTTAAGAAAATATAATTTTTTTTCATTAAATTCATTTTACTAGCAAATTATACTCTAATTTTTCGCGGTGTACCTACTTCACATAATATTATTAATTCATATTTCATAGAAGTTTGTAATTATTTTTACCAATTCTTTAAATAAAAGTAGGACCGAGTCTACTGTTAGGCATTTAACACACATTTTTATTCAACTGGGCCCGGCCTTCCGTTACTTGAATCCCGTAAAAGTTACTTATTTTTATTACGCAATGTTCTTGGGGCCTGTGTAACTATTCGGACTCTCTTTTGCATTATTCAAGTCGGGTATAAGTATGTAAGTACAGTTTGTTTAACATAGTGCTAAACATGAAAAGGACATGCCATTACCTTTACAAAAACAATAAAGCATACTTACTTAAATACTTAATTTCACTGTTTGCATACAAACGTACACATTTTTATGAAGTTTTTGATTTGATATAAGTATTTTTAAGACATTGGTAGATCCTTCATCTTTTAAATCTTTTGTAAAGAGATACAATAGGTACCGGCTGCTACAAAATTGTGTTTTTCTTTATTAAAAGCAACATTTTATCGTTCTTACCCTTTTTGCAATTCTGTCTGTCTGAAATTATACCTAGATACTTTTTGTCTCTCATTCAAATTATTCAAGATTACCTGGAATTTAGGTATAGTGTCCCAGAAATGGTTGGAAAAATTGAAATGGTATAGAATCCTTTTTCTATATTTTGAGGAAAATGTTCATGTGAATATGTCTCCTAAACGACCTAGTTTTCAAGACAAAAGTCGGACTGGGCATATACAGAAACATATATGACTTTGTAGAAAAAAATAATTAAGTTATTCACTTCGAGAATTCCTCCTTTAAGTTGGATATAGGTACATACTTACATTTTTTTCAACTACGTAGGTTGCTAGGTATACATAAATATATTGATAATATAATTTCATGTCATGACAATTTTGTTAATAAATCGTGTGTAAAATCTGGAACGAGTGCATCATGCATAAATAAAAAAATATGTGTTCTCGTACGTGCGTTATGGACAAGAGAATATGAGGCTCATTCCGTGGGTAGGTACTGAAAATTATCTCCGTGTCTATACTTATTTCCGATACTAAATTGTACCTATAATTTAAAATATATTTCATGACAGATCGAAGTTACAGTTAAGACAATATTATTTTCCTTCTAACAATAAGTACACTTATTACTAGTAAATTTAATATTTTAAAATTCTCAGAAAAACATCGTTTGTCGCCGAACGACTTGTAAGTAATTACCTACTTGTTCAAAATTATGTAGGAATCCAAATTCAAATAGTTAATGAAAAAATTGTAAGCGAAACGACTCACTCACGCATTCCGTATAGATTACACTAAATACCTACTATTTTCATAATGTAATTATATAATACCTAATTATTTTACAATACCATCAGCTGTGCCGTAAACATAACTTCTGTTTATAGAAATTACGACGATGCCATTTTCCTGTTATTAAAGTTTACACAACCGTGTCTGTATGAGTGTTACATCACAGTT